ACTTCGTCTATACTCTAATAAAAAGTTCCCCAGACCAAAGAGGTCACCTTAATACCAAAAAAAAAAAAAAAAAAAATTATTCAATAAAGATATGAGCAAAGCCTCATTTTAAAAACAAAAAAAAACCAATATACAAAATATATATAAAGTGTTTGGTTTATTTAACTTGCATTATACAGCATTATAAATATCAAATACAATATACAGAATATACAGAATAAAGTATCTATACAATATATTTTTAATACTGTACTGTACGGTATGTATAAAAGAAATAAAAAATTTTGAACGAACTATTAAATCATATTTGCAGTAAATACAATATACAGTATATATAAACAGTAAAATACGTGATTTTTTTAGATAATTAAAGTGATATATAGCGAATACCTGATCCTGTAATTAATAATTTTAATCTATTTTTATATACAAAAATTAATAATTTACAGCATAAAACAAAAAAAAAAATAGGATGGTATTATATACAAAAATAGTTAACAAAAGATATTTTATCGTTCGATAATTTGAACAAAGATTAAACTACTTTACGCTAACTCTAAATGTATATAGTAATTTATAACCAATAAAAAAATGATGGCTTAACTTTTCTTTTTTTAGATAAAGTAAAAAGTTATTAACCAATAATATTAATGATGATGTAATAAGTTCTTTTAACAAATGTTTTATCACGTTTCGTACGTGCGTATGTACGTACAGTACAGTAAGTGGGTACAACAAAAAACTTTCTAATTAAGCTTCGACTTTTTCGTTTTAAGTAGTGTAAATTCACCAACCTCACTTTATTTTACTGCGCAAATTTTCGTATCGTTGAAATATTTAGGCGCAGCAAGCAGTATTATACCAAGGTTTTTTTAACGATCTTTTGTTGTAATTCACAATTGTTAAAAATGCGGTCTAATGGTTTCTTTTTTAAAAAAAAATTCTAATGCTAATTCGTTAATTCGTTCGTAATTATTCTTTTAATTATTAGAACTTATTTCGCAAAGAATAAATTAACCGCAGTCCGCAGCATTTCAAACGAATATATTGATAAGAACTTTTTAAAATCTTAACGTTAACCGTTAACATTAATAACGAATCATCAAGTTTTTATAATTTTAATTTTCAAATTTTCAAATGATATATGCTTATAAACGTAATTTCTTTATTTTCTTTTTATTCAATTATAATTAAAAAAACAAAAAAAAGAAATACTAATATTATCTTAGAAAAATAAAGGGGATTTTTTTTCGCTAAAAGGGAATTTACTGTATTCGAGCGTATATGCTTTAATACTTAAGAATTGTACGTACAATTTTAAATCATATTTAAAAAAAAATCTTTTCACAAACACCATCTTCGTTTTTACTTAAAAAACCCACCAAACATCATTTTAACATCATTCTAATTTCTCAGGACGACGACGATGATAGCTTTTTTTCACGAATTTTAAATCATCATCAATCATCATAAATGCGATTTAATCAACTTATGCAAAGAGGAAACGAATTGGGGAAAAAAAAAAAATTCTCTAAATAAAAATCCCATCAATAAAATAAAAAATTCCCTCCCAAAAGAGAATTCTTTCCTTGAGGAAAGAAATCGAATATATAAAAAAATCACATAATATATATATATATATATATATATATATATAAGAGAAAAAATTTTAATAAAGTGTTCATTTGTAAGAAAGAAAAAAAAATCCCAGAAAATAATTTCGTATATATATAAAGAAGCAACAACAAGAGAATAAAAAAATATGTTAAATCATTATATAATAAATAGAGAAAGAGCAAAGAAACAAAATAAAAAAATTTTTTTTTTCATCAAATGAAGGGGAACCCAATAGAACTTGTTAAAAGAGACATCGCAACGTTCTTCTTTTTCATGTTTTGAGAACGTCCTATATCCGTAACGGAAAGCAAGGCGAAAAGGCATGCTTCAAATATAAAGCCCTACCGCAATCTGTACACGGCTCTTTTGTTGTTTGCGCATTTTTTTTTTTTTTTTCTTTTTTTTTTTTTGTTTTATTTGCTAAAACAAACACAGCCGGGATGCAGATAAATTTTTTGAAACGAGAATTTCTTTTGGACAAATGAGAAAGTTGTTCTTTTTTTTTTTTTTTTTTTTTTGCCATGGTGATTATAATTTTGATTTAAATCACACAAAGTTACATTGCAAAAAAAAAAAATAAAATAAAATAATAATAGTAATAATAATAATAATAATAATAAAAAGAGAAATATATATATAAAATTGATCACTATGGCATATTTAACAACTACGGGTTTAAAAAAAAAAAAAAAGATCGGTAGAGTCCATCAAAAAAAATTATTTATCCTCGGAAAAATTACGCTGCGTTTCAAGATTGTTTTTTTTTTTTCTAATCAAAAGAAATAAAGGAAGTTTTTTTTAAAAAAAAAATCAAAAAATCGGCCAAAAATATTTTTTACACTTTTCCACACGTGGCATTATGTCTTTTCCAAGCATCTTTACGAGAGAAAGGTTTTCGGCAAACGGAACATTCATGGACCTTTTCGCCCTTATGGATCCCGTTAATATGCCTTTTTAAATCGTGCTTTCTTGTGAATCTTGAACCACAATTAGGATGTTCACATGCGAATGGTTTAACACGATTAGGATCGTGAGTAGTTCTATGGGTTTGCATATTAAATTTTCTATTGAAGCCACGACCACAATCAGGGCAACTGTATTTTTTATCATCACCCTCATCTTCAGCTTCATCATCATCAAGATCTTGTGAAACACTCCTTCTTTGACGTTTACTACGACGAATTGGTTCAGAATTTTCACCGGATTCACGAGGTCTAATAGGAACCAACCTTGGGGTATTTGCAGGAGTTGTATGAGCAGAATCACTAGAGTGAGTAGGGGATTTTGTTTCAGAATTTTTAACATCAATAGTATCAATAGTAGAAGAAAGTTGGTGGTCCAATTCTGAAGTTTGTTCATGAACATTTAATGAAGGAGATTTTTCAGAAGTTGAAGTAGCACTATTTGGAGTACCCATAGTAACTTCAGAAATTTCAGGTTTCTTTTCACCCTCTACAGTAATTTCAGGCATAGCGCAATATTGAAAAGGAGGGAATAAAGAATACCAATCTTGACCTATATTATTATCGTATAGTTGAGGATCACCAACTTGTAAAGGAGTATATGGAGTGGCAGGAGTTTGAGGTGCGAGAATTGGAGTATTCTCTAGCGAAGAAAAATCCGAATAATAAGGTTCCCAAAGAGTTAAAGGAGTTGCTATGGGAGTTGTAACAGTATGAGTACCCGGAGTTCGAATTAACTCGTTTATATCGTTATACAATCTCTGTCGTTGTTGAGGAGTTCCAAGCAAAGGTATAGGAGAATTTAAAATAATATCGTTTCCTACTACAGGAGTAGCTACGGTAAAAGGAGATTGAGGAGAAACGAAGACGTTATTTGTAGGGAAACTCAAAGACGGATTGTTGTTTATAGAATTCCCGTGTGGCGAAGCTTGAGCTAGAATCGATTGGTCAATTTCGGTGTAACAAAGATCTTCTATTATAGGTGATTCGATGTGACTATTATGAGGACTATTAAAAGTAGAATCGACAGCTACGTAATCCCCTACAATGGGCTGCTGATGAATAACATGAGAAATGTTTGAGAAAAGACCATTATCTGAACTTTGAGTATAATTAGTGTCTTGAGAATAAATAATAAAATCTTCAGCAGGATTATTAAATAAAGCAGCAGTAGAGTTGTCGGTAGCAGAAGTCGTCGATTGAAAGTGTGGGGAGGTAACAATCATTACTTGTTCGGGAGAATATAATTGAAATAGTTCTTCAGACATAAATTGAGATTGATTAAAAAAGTTGTTTATCGGACTTGTCTCCTCCAAAGCGAATGATTTTTTAATATTGGCGAGATCCAAGTTCACGAACAACTGATTTTTTTTTAATTATATAAAAAAAAGTTGCTTTGCTGATTCGAAAATGAATCAAAGAATATTTAAACCCTTTATTTAAAAGGGAGATTTCTTGTATTAGTTTTTTCGTTCCTTATTAAAGGAACAATCGAGTCGAAAAAAAAAAATAATTATTCAAGTGTTCACAAGTTTTTTTAAAAAAATTTACTTGTGAAGATAATTTTTTTGAATTTTTTATAAGAAAAAAAGAAAAAGAAAAGAATTTTAATACTTAATCGTTAAAAAAAAATTATTACAAGGTAGGAAAAACCTCAAAAGTGAAGGAAAAACCTCAAAAGTGAAGTAAAAAAAAAAAAGGGAGATGGAGTTTTGAGCAACTATTTATGACTTTTCTTTCGCAAAATAAAGTCAATATAAATAATTTAGATTACTGTATACATATGTTTAAATAATTAATATTTATAATATTTATAATATTTAAAATATTTAGATTACACTATGTATAAATTTTGTTAAATCACATTCTTGAGTACAAAAAGGCACTAAAAAGGTTTATGTAAATTAAAGCTCCATATATAGGGGATTAGGGGATTAGGGGATTATTGATTGAACTTCTAATCAGTGATTTTCTCGAGTAGCCGCAGTTACATTTCAACTTTTTTTAGTGAATATTTTGAATATTTGTGAATATTTGTGAATATTTGTGGTATTTGTGAGTATTTGTGAGTGGTAAACAATGACACAAAAAAATGCCGAAATAAATTCCGATTGTAGAAATCATTAATTGGTTACTATCGTCACGATTAAATTCATTTGATGGGGTAGGAAAATAAAGAAAAGAATTTTCTTAAGGTCCGTGTGAATAGTGCGCCATTATGACTGAAATACTATTCTTATATTCTTACTTGATAAAAAAAAATATATTAATTACGTAGAAAGAAAGATGAGGTCTTGATTATGGAAAAAAAAAGGATACAATGTCTTAAATTGGCGAGGCGAATACGAAAGTGGAAAAAGAAGTTCCAAAATATCATTCTTTTCATATGCATTTCGGGGTTCATATTCCGATTCAGGAGGTCAAACGAATTCCCTGCATCCTTACCTCATGCCTTTTTATTTACTTTTTTTATTTACCTGACGCACCGTTAATAAACAGTCGTTGGGGTAAATTGTATAAATTGTACCAATAAAATTTTAAAACGTTATTCTTGTGCAATGCAGTTGAACATAACAGTTGAACAAGTTAAACGTTTTGAATGTGAATGGCAAGTCAGTCAATGGATTCTCATTAGACACGTCATGCATGATTATAAATCCAATTTATTTTTAATTGTTGATAAAAATTTACCGGAGTTTATCTTTAGCTTTTTTTGAATGTGACTTTAAAAAGTTATAATCGGTTTTTTTTTTATGGTGATAAGGGTTTTGATAAAATATCTGATAAGAATTTTAAATGAGCTTCTTATTATGTTATTTATTTTATATTTTATATATTTATTATATATTTAATTTATATTCTTGGTATATATTATTATTATTATTATTTTATCACTGTGACATTAAAATATCCGGTTTGAACACAAAATTTAGCGAACGGAGTTGTTCTCCGTTATTAAGGATTATAAAAAAGTGCAATAAATGTATTATTATTAGTAACCGTTGGTTTCTCTTTAACGTCATACATTTTTTTTAATTTAATTTTTTTTTTTTTTTTTATATTATTTTTCTATTGTAAACTTGTGAAAGGAATCAGGCAATTTTTTTAGCCTCACAAATTTCCGCTATCTTATCAGTATTTCCATCACACTGCATTTTTTCGTAAAAATGGAAAAAAAATAAAAAAAAAACAATTTTGGTTTTCTTGGCTTTGTGGCACGTGATCGTACCCGGAAGAATAGTTTTGAATAACAAAGATCTACAGTTGGAAAGTATCCACGTGTGGTTTTAAATAAAGTAATAATGTTATAAATGCTATGTTATAAAAGATCATCATGCATTTTTAAAATTCAAACATGATTAAGGATTAGTCGTACAAGAATGTACAAAATTATACAAGACTGTACAAGACTATACAAGAATGGACAAGACTGTACAAGACTATACAAGAATGTACAAGACTATATAAGAATGTACAAGACTGTACAAAGACTGTATAAAGACTGTATAAAGACTGCATAAGAGACTGTATATAAGACTGTACAAGACTGTATAAAACTGTATAAGACTGCACAAGACTGTACAAGACTATACAAGAATGTACAAGACTATACAAAAATATACAAGAATATACAAGAATATACAAGAATATACAAGAATATACAAGAATATACAAGAATATACAAGAATGGAACAGGATTACTAATACCAACAGAGCGGTAAACTTTACATTTTAACGATCTTTTAAATTTTTTTTGTGGTGGATGTATGCTAAAAAGATTTCTACTAATTGCTACTGTAGCTACTGTAGCTACTGTAGATATAGCTATTGTAGCTATTGTAACTATTGTAGCATGAAGATAATAAGTTATATATATATAATATATGATTCGATCTCGACGATCTCGACAAGCTAATTCAATAAAAAAATCCTCCGATTACGATTATACGGATCGAATCGGCGCTGTTCAACAGATTTAGAAATCAAAAGAATTACCATTATATGCGGAAAGTTGATAGTCTATGCACATAAAAATTTTCAGGTCATTGGTGAATCATTACACTTATGCAAGCTAAAAACGTTTTTTTTTATCCACACCATTTTTTTTTTTTCATTAAAGCGAGTTTATTTATACAAATTTCCTTAATATTATTAATATTATTATTATATTATTAATAATATTATTATTAATATTATTATTAATATTATTATTATTATTATTAATTAATATTATTAATATTATCCGGGCTGTCAGATTGTTCTTCTTTGGATTAATTAACCCTTTATATGAATCATATGAACTTAATACCTACGTTTTGTTTACCATAATCAGTACATCAATGGGGTTCCTCCAGGGAGGGGTTTGGAATGATAAATTTTGATTTGTAAACTTTAACTAAAATTACGGAATTATCACGCCAATATCATGTATATCATGTGATATGTATATTTCCGTATATTTGTAATACTTTAAAATTACTATAATAGGTTAATCAATTGATTGAATCTTGACTGTCTAGATTCCGTCTGATTCCGTCTTTAAACTTTTTTTATTGACGGACTCTATTCATTAGTCATTTTTAAAAATTCATTTGATTGCAAATGTTACATGCATACTTGTTGATTTCTGCGGACTGCGGTTTTACTTACTCTGGGGGTCTGTTCCCGTGTAACGTATCATTCACCTTTTTAAAAGGTTTGGCGGGAGGGAAACAAGCCAGTCCGATTGTGAATCCAATTGTCTTAAATTATTTAAGGTTTATCCAATAAATCACAAGAGATAAGTAAGGTTACTCTAGATAAGCATCTTTATAACTATAAGTTATATAACGATATAAATATGATATAAATACAAGTATACACGATATATACAATATTTATTTATTAGATCTGCGTTTACATATATCGAATATATTGAATGGATGTTCCAAAAAGAAGTTTACACGACCTTTGAATCTTTGTGGATGTGCGGTTGATGTGCCACACAATGGCTTATGCAACATTAAATGTGACTTTTGCCACTTGAAATAACACACTTATGTAATAAATTATGTATAAACTATTTTCCTAGGAATTCCCGATCTTTAATATCATATGCACATACGTACTTACTGTTCGTACATTTTTATCATTTTGTGTGTAAACAAACATGTATAATGATTTTTTTATGTTAATCAGATCAGGATGACTCATTTAATTTGCTTTTAAAAAATTAAGGGGTGTGTGGTGGCATTTCATGTTTCAAGCCACGGCATTATTGTAACTTCCATGTGGAAAATCGATTGAACCATTTTCTTTTCTTATCAAGCCACTCATCAAATACCATCAAAAATTATATCACGGATCGTCAAAAAAAAAAAACTGTCAAGTTCTTTAAAGGTTATTCATTACTCACGTATTACATCTGTACATGGCGCCTAATGACTTTATAAAGATTTTTTTATTTTTATTTTTTTTACTTACCGTTATTCACAAATACTTTCTTTGTGAAATTCATGAATTCATTCTTCTTTCTAGAATTTAAGCTTGATTTGTAATGAAAAAAAAGTTCCAGTTAAAGTCGTATACGGGGGTCCCCGTGATAAAGATTCTAGATCAAAGATTTACTTAAACTTATTTTATACATATAATTCTATGTAAGGTTAGAAAAAAAAGCTTTTTATGACTTTCCATTTGTAATTTAACATTCACTTATCATTACTAATTATTGTTTACAATATCAAATATGGTACCCGTACTTTATTTGAAATAAAATTACGTTGAAATCTTCTTCGGTTATGTCCGGTATGTTTTGACCCATGTTCATGTGATGGTCAATTCTGCAATTGTACTTATTTCATTTTTCAAATGTAAACATACTTTTTCGTTATTTATTTTTCCCCATTTCTTTTTTACACCATGTATTTGTCTTTTTTTGACAAAAATTTCGTCATTATTTCATTATTTCAAATCATTTTTTTTAAAACACACGAGATCATATGAGTCACTTTTTTTGTATCATTGCTCTTACAGGTACTTTTCTGATTGGTTACATGTTTGATGTATCTGGTATTTGATATTCGTGCGTATAGACGTACGTACGTATGTACGTAAGTGTGTACGTAATAAAAACTTCCAAACAATCTTTTATATTCTATGTATAAAACTTGATATTACTAATAAACTATAAATGCTAAATAATTTCATTGTAAATGCTATTGATTAATTTTTATTCGTAAATGCTAAATAATTAAATGATCCAAAGATAAAAAATCTCGGGTAACACAAAATAGTCTAAAGAACTATTTGTACCACGGGAGTTATTTCTCCGTTTAAAAAAAATAAATAACTAAATTTATATTAAACTATCGAATTTGATTCAACGTATACTCTACCTTAATATACCTTAATATCACTTTTAAATATCACTTTAGATCACTTTTTTGACTTGAGTGATTATTCAAAAAAGTTTAATTTAATTATTTTAAAAATTTATTTTATATATATTAAAATCGTTGATCACTATCGCTATACTGAGTCATTATTACATTTAACACATTTAACGTTAAATTATGCCCATTTTTATTTTAGACAACAATAAACGTTTTATATAATATTGATATAAAATTTTTTTTTTCTCATATCAAAAAAAAAAACGAGTTTATTATGAATTATACGAAAAAAAAGGATATGTAACAGGTTTATATAATTTAAAAATCTTATAGAGGAAATAAACAGTATCACACAATTTTTTTTAAAAAAAAAAATCTTCAAAATCTACACAATAATATCGATTTTTTTTATTATTCAAAGTAATGTGTCATTGTTTCTCAAATTGTAAACATGTATTATGATGTCATTAGGAGATCAACCTTTTTCGTTTCAAGAAACTTCAATTTTTTTAAACAACCAATGTCCATCTTAAAAAAGTTCTAAACTAGATAATTCCTGTAGTACACATGGATTCTTATAGTTTTCGATTATGCTGCAAGGATTCTATATACATTTTATACTTTTTATACATTGATCGCTAAATTTTTTATAAATTCTTGTCAAACAATTGTAACAAACCTGCAAGTCAACCTGCAAGTTTAACAAAATTTTCTCTATTTTTGTTACTTTTTGGAATTTTTTAAACTTTTTGAAAATTTTGGAAATTCTCAAATAGGAATATTATTAATCAATATATATAAAAAAAAAAGCGTCGACACATTTATGAAATATTTATGAAATATCAAAGCGTCTATTTGTTAATCGACGCTAACAAACCTTTACGACACATTTATAGGGATACCTGTAGGTCTTACTGCATACCAATTCCTTATAAAACCCGTTTTAGGACTTTAGTCCAGTCCAAGACTTAGTCCTAGAACCTAGGTCCGCTATATGTTGTAAAAGGGCGAATTTGGGTGACTAACCTAAGACACAACAAAAATCAAAGGCTAATCGAAAGAAGGCAAGATTTGGTCCGAGAACCAAGGATTCCCGGAGTTTATCATTAGATGGCCTTTATTATTATAACACTTTACTTGTTTTCAGATACATGAAATCGATGGTTATCTATATTACTATCTAAGCAATAAATCTCCCCTAACGTGACCTAACCTAATATAACCCTAACCCCTAACCTTAACCAATATAACTATTTAGAGTATCGGGGGAATCTATGACTAACGATGAGTAATTCATAATCATTTACATGACTATGACTTTAGTTCCCACCATAGAGGCGCCTTACTATTGTTCTTAATTGCCTTCGCTTTTTCGATCAATGCGCATTAATCTTATGGCTTAGATTTCGTTTTTTTGCTGCGGCTAGTTCACGTTACCCCTTCACAACGTACATATGGACATTTACCTATTACAGTATTAGAATGCGTAATAATATTATGTGAACTATATACATTAAATAAACTTAAACTATGCATTTAAAACTTTATTGAAATTATACTGTATATATATTAATTAGGCTGAGAAATTTGCAGTTGAAATGAATTTTATTATTTTTAAATTATTCTTTCATTTAAACCATTACAAATTTGTATATTGGGACTTTTTAAAGACCTATGGACTTTACCAACCCTACACATTTATAAGGTATTTATGAAATATCCATAGCATCACCTTCCGTAACGATAAACTCTCTAACAGTTTCCTTGAGATATGCTATAAAAATTTTTAATAAAATTAAATTATAATTAATTAATAAAGAAATTATTAATATAGGTAATATTTAATATATTAAATTTACCGGTTGTTCCTCTCTTATATTTGTAAGTTTGTTCTTTATGTGCTCGTTCATTGGGTTTAGCATAATTTCTCAAGACTTCTACTTTATCTTTCTCAATTATATTAACATCTACATTTGAACCGGATCCAAGATCATTAAAAATACCGGCTTCAATAGCATCCTTGACTAATTCAATGGCATCATCCCGCTAAATAAAAAATATAATATGATATATGAATGTTGTTATATAATGTTATATGGTCATTATGTATACATATATATCTGTATATATTGTGTATGCATATAATATAAAGTAACTGCGAAAAAAACAAACCTCCAAATCTTTGGTCCATCTACTTTCAAGTATAGACATAGCCGCCAATGAACCACTACCCATGGCCACGAAAGGTAATTTATCTGTGCTTCCATGGGGATGTACAGTGTACAGACCAGGTCCAGATATATCGTGACCACCAACTATCAACGCTGCGCCAACATGTCCTTGATACCTATATATTAATATAAATATATATTAATATAAAAATATCACATAATATAAAGTGCAAATTATATGAAAACAAACCTAAAAAGCATTTGTTTTAACATTGTCACCGCAGTTATAATGCGAGCTTGCCTTCCGGTCGCCAATCGATGCAATTCCAATTGAGAACTGATTAATGCGGTAGCATTTTCGGTATCAGCTGCTGTACCGGCTCCACCGCAATACATGTTGGGTGCAAGATAATGAATCTTTTCACAATTCTTATTTGCTACGATCGGTCCATTAGTTGAACGCGTATCTGCTCCAAGAATAACACCATTCTAAAAAAAAAAAAAAGGACTTGTTTGTTGAAAATTTATTAAGATCAAGCTATCAAAAACTATTATATTTGATTTTTCAATAATAACCTTGTAAACTATTCCGACGATCGTGGTTCCTGTTTTAAACGGTTTGGGCAAACTGAGTCCTTGTTTCTCAAGAAAAGCATTTCTATACCAATAATGCAAGAACGTTATTTTTTTATTCAATTTGATTTCAAAAAATTCCGACAATTATACATGCTGCACAGACCTACTGACCTACGGTAGTTGTCAAAATTGAAACCACCCTTTGGTATTTCTACTTTAGTTCTCATTATGTTAACGTACACGTGAGATCTTTCAACAAGGTACTTTTATAACAGAGGTCGGAAGAGCTGTTTTATATAAAAAAAAAATTGCATATCAATCAATGCACACTGATTTGTAATCACTTCACGTGACAAACACATCAAAGTATGAACCAATCGTAATTTATTATAATATTTCCGTATTTTTTATATTTAACTAACTAAATAAATGACTTCATAAATCATTTATAAGTCATAAAACTTTATTATAAATTTTTTTTTAGTATGCAATTGTATTTACATTGCAAAAAACTTGGATAGTGATTCATAAGTTGATATCATAAGGGCACAGCTTACTGCAACTTTGGCTATTCGCAAAGTTCCACCTAATGGAATTAATTCAATTAATAATCTTTTTTTTTTAAACAAAAAAATTGAATCAAACAATCAACATACCTCTGAATAACCCTCGATATCCTTCCTCATGAAATATTCTTTGCATAACTTTGACCATGCTTGGATTTTTCACTAAATAAAAAGTAAATTCAATCATCATTTAAAAAAAATATAAAAAATTATAAATCTGCTTACTTGAATTTGAAGCAACTTGTCGTTGAGTTTTTGCCACATCAAAAGGAGTTGTTAATGTTGCTGCAATCTATAAAATAAAAAAAATAAAAAAAAAGACGGTATTGATATATGACTGCGAGAAGTAAAGTCTATAATAGCGATATAATTAACTAACCATGCCAGAAGTAGCACCGCTCACAAAGGCAACGGAAAAATTATTTATATTTCCATCGATACTTTTGTTTCGCAGATAATTAGTATAGTTTCTTTTTATTGATTCATAACCTGTCCAGTATATGGCTGAAATAAAAAAATAAAAAAGAGTTATATTGTATGGATTTATAAAAGAGATGACAAAGTAAATAACAGGTGAATGTACTATACCTGAAAATGGAACATCTCGCCATAACGTAGGTTCTAAACCTCGCCATAATGATGTGACACCATTTCTTCTGACCATCTCTCGCACACCCTTCATAACATCTTTTAAACCATTTATACCTTCTGGACTTTGCATCCTGGTTCTAAGTAATTCTATTGGTGATATTACTGAAACCGAAAATGCTAAATAATAAAAGGCCATTAAAGAAATTCAAAAAAAAAAAAAGTTTCGCTATTGTTGTTAATATATATTGATAAACCTACTCCTTGCAAGGGTTCCAGCCACTAGCGGTGAATATGTTTCAGAGTATTTCCCTTTCCAATGTTTCCATAATGAATCTCTAATAGAATCATATCCAACAAAATAGACTACCGTCAAGGGAACAGACATTACTCTATAACAATTTTTCAAAAAAAAAAAGTCAGAGAAAATCTATCTATGTAGGCTTCATATGAGACAATAAAGTAAAACTGACACTCCAGGTGAAAGTCCTCGCCATAATGATGTGACCCCTTCATAACGAACGATTTTAACAATGCCATCCTGTCGAATATTAATAAATATAATGAATATTAATGAACATTAAGAATATCGATGAACATCTATGAATGTTAATGAACATTGATAAATCTATTGAATAACAATTTATAAGCGAATTGTAAAAAAAAACCTAATACTGTATCTATAGTTATCTATTTATCTAATAAAATTATACTCACCATAAATCCGTTTAACTCATTAAACTGACGTCCGGCAGCGATTTTACTAGGCATCATAGCATCTGTAACAGCGCAACTCAGTGTTGAGGACTGTTTTGGCATACGTGGATCTAATGAGTGACAAAAGAACTCCCGATGCATATTTGGTGTGGAATAAAAGACTTCCTGACAACATGACGTGAGGGAAGAATATGATTTTGTGTTTGAAACGGTCGAACCTTTGTAAAGACTCTGGGATTGTAATCGAGTTTTGACGAGATCGAAGGGAGTTGCTTAATATTATAACACAAAAAGATTCAATAAAAACAGAAAAAAAAGCACAGAGGATAATTGTTAAAAAGAGAATTTAAAGCCATACTGAAAAGGGAAGTCAGCAAAGCTCCACAACAAGCTGCAAACATTTTCTCCAATGGAATTACATGTTGAGGCGACAAAATAGTAGTAGCTGGTGTTCCTGTAAAATCATGAATCTGGTGGCCATTTTTATGCATTTCGTTTCTTGGAATTACACTATATTCGTGTTTTTTATCACGAATTAACTCAGGATCAAGCTTTGAATCTTTGATTTCCGTGTATTCCAAAATAACGTTCAGCGTAGTGTCCATATACGTAAATTACTCGTAAATTACATAAATGCGATTTACCCTAATTATGTTATCAGATCGTGAATGACAAATCATATGATGTTCAGTAAATATTCAGAATAGATTAGATATTATCGTTATTAGGTAAGCATAATACATATCGATATTAGTAATTTACAACGCGATAATAGATGTGACGATAATAATTTACATTACTGCGTCTGTTCTTATTAATTGTCGGAGAAATCGAAATTTAGGGTCTCTATTTAAAACTTATACTCTAATTATAAATCCTAACCCTAAATCCTAATCCAACCATGACATTAATTAATAATAAATTAAAGCCATAAAACAATATTACGATTAGAAGTGTTTTTTTTTAAAAAAAAACAAGAATAAATCTCGTAAAAATAAAACCCGTAAATTCCATAAATTAATTGCATAAGAATGTGACTCATACATGGCTTAAAGAATTTTTTTGTATTTAAACACAATATATAGTCTAGCGCTATAAAAAGACGAAATTGACATTCACAAAAATTGATTATCGTGAACTATCGATCTGAATCACATGATTTTGATACCACTCGATGACATAAACCACATAAACCGCATAATATAGTCGACAACACAAACAGGTTAAATTTGCCGCATAATGTATAAAATATGGCACTATTAAGTAATTATCGCATAATTGGCTCTAAGTACATGTCCTCTAAGTATACTTGCTGGCAAAACCCGGACAAATCCCAAATTCAAAAAAAACAATTGCTATTTGTAAATA